CATTGCTACTTCATAACTGTAATGTTGCTACTGTTATGAATCATAATGTAAATATCTGATATGCAGGGTGGTCTTAGGGGACCCCTGTGAAAGGATCGTTTGACCCCCAAAGGGGTCGCGACCCACAGGTTGAGAACCGCTGATTTAGACAGCCATGAGCAGAGCAAGGATGATGGGCCAGGTAACATGAGGAACTGTATTAAAGGATCGTGGCATTAGGAAGGTTGAGAACCACTGGATTAAGGAGTTGTGGAGCTGTGAATTTACTTATGCAAAAAGTCTTGCAAAGTTTTTGAGTTGTAATCACACCAAGCCATGCATTTGTTTGTAGAAAATATATAAACATTTAGTCAAAGTATCCACTATGTATCAGCTGGCAGAGCATTTGCATGTTTGAAATCCCAGCTCTCCTGGCACGTAGAAAACACACACTCACTGTGCCATGTCAGGCCGCACCCACAACCATGAACTTCAGAGGCACCGCTTCCTTATTCTGGAAAATGGGGCTGGCTTCCTGCACCCTTGCTAGCTGGCTCACGGGGAGCACACTCTTAGGAACAATTTCAACTTCCTGAGTGAGTGAAAAGTGGGGTTTACATGTAGGGAGGAAGCAGCAGCCAACCCTGGTAATTCTAAAGAACAGTTGTGTGCTTCCCATTCAAGCAGCGACACAAAGGAAATTGAGTCATCAGTTTCTTGCTGTGCAAACCCCCAGAATTTCTCTGGGGCAGAGAAGATCCCCTTTGAGCCTGTGCTTTGTCTGGCAGCATCTGCCACCTGCTCCACTCCTTTTACAAGGGCCACTTCCCTTTTAGGTGCTGGGTGGAGACAGCTAAACCGGAGGTGCTGGGGAAACACAACCCCAGCCCCAGCCCCAGCCCAAACCCCAGCCCAAACCCCAGCCCCAGCCCCAGTCCCAGTCCCAGCCCCAGGCGGGGCCTCAGCCCCAGCCCCAGCCCCAGCCCCAGCCCCAGCCCCAGCAAACTGTCCAGCCCAGCCAGAACAGACTATCTCCTACCACCTCCCTCTGTCCCGGGACCCCAGCCTGGAGCCACCTGACATCACAGGCTGATCTGAAATCTCACTTGGGTGTGCACGTGTCACCTGGGGCTCCACGCTGGCTTTCAGTTCAAGATCTTTGACTTTCATGGAGAACTAACTGTGTCATCCCGGGTCCTCAAGACCTTCCCTCCCGGGGGCTCATAAAACCTGCTAAGCCCCAGGGTTTCCAATGAGCGTTTGCTGAGGGGGCTTTCTGGGTCTTGCATCTAATGCTTATGAGGTCCACGTGAGAGCCTCCCTCTGTGGCGCCTCCTCCTTCATTTCCAGGTGGAGGGCATTGCCCTAACTTGTCTGAGAGACAAGAGGCAGCCTCTCCCTTTCCTCCAAGCCTGCCAATGAGGGCATGTCTAGAAGGGCGGCTGGACTCTGATAAGGCCCTGACTTATTTTAGAAACAAATAACTAGGTTAGTATCTCTTGACAGCTGTGGCCAAACGTGAGGGGAGACAGGCCAGGGCAGGGCAGGGCAGCCAAGCGTCCACAG